CATGTCCCCTCTGGGTCTTCGTATGAAACTAACTAGGTTTTTTTTTTGTTTTTGTTTTTTACCAAGCTGTTTTGTGGTGATGCTTCCATTCACGGAGTCCATATGGTGTCGCGACCGTATGATCCTAAGGCGCAGAACACAAATCAACCGGGGGAAAAAAAATTCAAGTTTCGACAAAAACAGCTATTTTAACCTAGTTGTTTTTTTTGGTCATTTCTCCATTCACAAGGTCCGTTAGTATTATCCTTAGGTGAAACATAACATGCAAAACAACAGGAAAAACAGTAGGCTCGAAAAATCGTCAAATTTCGTAAAAAAAAAACCATCAGCTTTCTGATTTTGCTATTTCTCACTTTATCGTTTTCGGCTCAATGATGATGGGAATGAGGATGGTTAGGATAATTTTCATAATAAAGGCGATGAAAATGATGAGCATTAAAAGAAAACTTGTTTGTTTGCCGTCATTCGCCACCCCTAAAACCCCGAAAATTAGGGGCGCTCTTTTTTTTTTTTTTTTTTAATAGATCAAATGAAAACCACTTTTTCGTCGATTTTGGCACAGATCCGTGTCATATGGAAATTTTTACTATTTTTTTTTAAACGGATCAAAATATGATCGTTTTTCCGTCAAAAAATGACAATCGAACAGTTTTCACGATGTTTCTATGATTTTACGGAAAAAAACCCCCCAAAAAACATGGGCCTACTTTTTTCCACCAGCCCCTGTATTGAAATTTTTACAATGTGACAGCAAACAAACAATTTTGTTAGGCATGATAATGGTGATGATGGTGGTGCAGATGATTATGGTTAAGATGATGATGGTAAAGATGATGAATAGATGATGATGACTTTTGATTTGTATTTAATTTTCTGTATGTGTTCACATTGTAAATTCAACAATTCATTTTACTTCAGCTTGTGTTTACATTGTCTCGATGTTCTCCCTTAAAACGTCCTTAACATGATGGGTTTATTTTTCTTTCAGGTTAGCTATCGAAGGCCCGTAAGACCCTTTCGAACTCAAGCCCACATGGATGGCAGGGCCGGCGGAACGTTTTTCAAAGTGGGTGGGGGCAATAAGATGAATATGAATATGAATCATGCAGATCTGGAATCAAACCTAGGGGTTGGGGTCAACATTTTTCCAAAAACGAAAGGAAATCCGGGGTCCTCCCCCTGGAAAATTTTGATTTCTAGATGGCGGGAAATGACCTTTCTCGACTTTTGAGCTAGGTGTCTAATGACTTTGTTCTTCAAAAATCAAGGTTTTCCCCCTCTTGAAAACGGTCAGGTAAACTTTCTCATTCTTATTACAGTAAATATAACTGTTATGTAGTAGTTGCATAAGTATTCATTTTTCAATGAATAGATAAGCTCCAAAGAAAAAAAGGGGGGTCCGGAGGTTCTCCCCCGGGAAAATGTTTTTTTTCAATTACGGTCAGGTAAATGTATCCCATATTAGAGTAGATAGGCCTTATGTGTGTTTACATACATATAAAATTGAGTAGTTGCATACGATTTTTTTTCCATGAATCCATAAATCCCAGACAGAAAGGGGTAAGGGGGTTCTCCCCGGGAAAAGTTTCCTAGAAGGCGGGAAATGAGCTTTCCCGACTTCTGAGGTGTCTTTCAAGTACTTTTAACTTCTTCAAAATTCAAGGTTTTCCCCGCTTGAAAACGGTCAGGTAAATTTTTCTCATTTTTTATTTTATGTGTGTATACATAGGCCTACATAAAGAAAGGGTGGTCCGGGGGTTTTCCCCCGGGAAAATTTTGATTCCTAGATGGCGGGAAATGAAGTGTGTTTTAATGACTTTATGTTCTTCAAAATTCTAATTTTCTTATTGTAACAGCTCACAGGTCCTGAAAAGGTAGGTCTAGAATTTTTTTTTTTTTTTTTTTTTTGGCTAAGAGCCCTTTTTTTTTTTCAAAATTCCCTATGGCGACGATCCTCACGAATAGTTAAGCACCAGGCCGTCTGAATTTGTAGTTCAAAGTGAGTTGGGGGAGAGGGTAGTGCTCTCACTCAATTCCTAATGATAACATTACTCTAAATACATTTGCTACATATTTTTGTATGATATAGGTAAAATGTTCAATTTTCATTGAACATTCAAAATGGCCGGCAATGTTTGTATTTAGAATATAAAACAGTGCTTACTGTATACATTTGATGTTATGTGATTTTTAGTTAATAAAATACGGTATACAAATTAATGATTTTTTAAAATCCAAGATGGCCACCAAAATTGCCGCCAAATGTATTGGGAAGTCAAGGTTTTGTATTGAGAACTTAAACATTGCTTACTATATTATACATCAAGAGGTTCACTTGTATATTTTGCATATTTTTGTATGATATAGGTAAAATGTTCAATTTTCATTGAACATTCAAAATGGCCGGCAATATGGCAATATGTTTGTATTTAGAATATAAAACAGTGCTTACTGTATACATTTGATTTTATGTGATTTTTAGTTAATAAAATACGGTATACAAATTAATGATTTTTTAAAATCCAAGATGGCCACCAAAATTGCTGCCAAATGTATTGGGAAGTCAAGGTTTTGTATTGAGAACTTAAACATTGCTTACTATATTATACATCAAGAGGTTCACTTGACTTTTTTATGATTTTTAGTTAATAAATTTTACAAATTATTGATTTTCATGAAAATCCAAGATGGCCACCGAAATGGCTGCCGATTTCGCCGCCAAAATGTTTTGGGAAGTCGTGTTTTGTATTGGGAGCATAAACACTGCTTACTGTGTAAATTTAGATGTTCATTTGATTTAATATGATTTTTAGTTATTAAAATATACAAACTAATGATTTTCATTTAAAATCCAAGATGGCCGCCAATATGGCCGTCAAATGTAAATGCGAAGTCAATCTTTTTATAGGTTTATTTGATTTTATATGATTTTTAGTCAATGAATTATGAACAATTAATGGTTTTCGTTGAAAATCCAAGATGGCCGCCAAACTACCACATGGGACATTTTTTTTTTTTATGGGAACGAAAATCATTAATTGTTTATAATTCATTGACTAAAAATCATATAAAATCAATATGGCCGTCAAATGTAAATGCGAAGTCAATATGAATTATAAACAATTAATGATTTTCGTTGAAAATCCAAGATGGCCGCCAAAATGGCCACCAAACAACCCCATGGGACAAAAATACAAAATACATTCATGAGACATTTGGAGGATTACAAAAATGTTAAAGAAAATATATCCTGGGGTGCATAGGAACCCCCTGTTCCTACCCGACTAAGTTGTTATGCTTGTTTTATTAAATATGTCAGCAGCCTTCAATACCATTTATCATAATATTCCAATAAAGAGGCTTCAAAATGAATACCGTATGCTATCGGAGGCTCAGCTTTATATTTAAACACAGTACCAGAATATGTGTATCAGGCAGTTTTCTTGATGACCCAATTAAATAAGGTGTTCCCCAGGGATCAGTTGTAGATCCGCCAATTTTCAATGCCTATTCAAAACCGGTGACTGATATTTTTAAGCGCTTTGGTGTTTTGTATCATATCTATGCTGAAGACACACAATTGTACGTTAGTTATGAACCTAAGAGTAGCTGCTGATAGGGTAGATGCGAAATTTCGCTTAACAAAATGCATCGCTGTAGTGAAATTGTGGATGCTGGAAAATAAGTTAAAGCTAAATGAAACGAGGACTGAATTTTTTCTAATCTCATCTCAAATGCAACTAAGTTCCATTCCAGATTAGCGAATCTTCAATTGTCCCCTCATCATCAATTTTTTATCCTTGTCTTAAGATGGATTTACAGGTATCATCTATTTGTCGCACATTTAACTACCATTTACGTAATATAAAGCGTATTAGCCCCTTTATTGATCAAAGTACTTGTCCCATGCAGTATGATCTTCGATTCTTTCTCTGTTGCATAATGGCAACTCTTTGCTTGGCGGTATTTCGCGCTCCAATGCACAGCAGCTTCAAAAATGTGCCGCGAGACTTTTTTTGCATGTATAGGCGCACAAGAACCTCGCCATTGCTACGGGAACTCCACTGGTTGCCAGAGAAAAAGATCATACTACATGTGTACAATGGTGTTCATAAAATAGGTTCATCATATATTCAAGATAATCTTAAAAGTCTGGTCGTGTAGATCTTACTACATGTGTACAATGGTGTTCATAAAATAGGTTCATCATATATTCAAGATATTCTTAAAAAGATTCAGCCTGGTCGTGTAGGTCTTAGGTCCTCTGATTATCCCTACGCCTTATAGTTCCAATTACAAAAAGAGCTTTTGGTGAAAGTGCTTTTTCTGTGATTGGTCCAAAATTATAGAATAATCTCCCAGTGTGCAATCTTTTAAAAACACACCTTTTACCTAGAGAGTACAGTAGTTTCTTTAATGGGTTTTATCTATACTTGACCGATTCATAATTTCATTACACACTTGTGTTTTACTGTCCCTATTTTTTCGCTAACTAGCTTTTTATAGGAAATTTTATTGAATTCCGTAAATTGGACTTTCTATTGAATGATTTTTTACTGTACAGTACATACATTTATATTGGTAAAAATGGGTTTTAATGTACAGCACTTCGATCTTTGGAATTTTTATTGAATGTTGTAATTTGTACTTGCTATTTTTATTGAGTGATTTGAAATATTGTACTAAGTTACTTTTATATTTGTAATAATAGGTTTTGATGTACAGCGCTTTGATCTTTTTTTGTAAAGGCGCTATATAAATACTTTTTAATAATAATAATAATAATACGTATTTGAGCATTGAAGTTGCCATAGTAATTATAAATCAAAGCTGCAACCTAACTGGCTTTGCCCTAGTTCTCCCTGTTATGAGATAAATTTTCAGAAGCTGAAATGTTCTGGTATGGTAACTTATCATTTGTATGATTTTTTTTTGCAAACCAGAGTTCCCCAGGTTACAGCAGGCCTGTGATACTGCAACAATAAGTCATCGAACACTCATTCAAATATAAGATTTTTTATTGGAAAAAAACCAACTTGATGTGTTATTACACACTATCTTTGAAAAAAAAACTGGGTCAAGTTGGCTTAGTAGCCTGAAAAAATACAATAGCAATTCTGCTGGTTTTCTGGGCACTACCCCCACCAGGGCCTCAACCCTAGACCATGCTGATCATCTTTCCCACTTTGTCAGACCCACTGTTAAAGGGCCTTGCTGATCCCCCCACTTTCCTAAATTACCACTGTGTAGAATTTTCATTCTGAGCCCTTAGCTTATAGAATGTCAGGGGATAATCTCTACCCTACTAGGGCTTTCTTTTTTACACCCTCCTGGCCTTAGCTTTTATTCGCCAGACCATTGTCAAACAGAAGCCAACACCTACTTTTCCTTAATGAATATCAAAAATTACAAGTCTACAATTGGCTATACTCATTCATGAAACTACTGTACACCAAAAAAATAATACTGCTCAACAGTCAACTACCATTTGAAGGCAAATTTTTTAGGTAAACACATTTTAAAGTGTACTTGTACTGTAAAAACTTGACTTTTTTTTCAACAATACAATAGTTACAGGTTCATGATGGGAAAGTCATCTTCTGAGTCAGATGAGCTTGAAGCTGAAAATAATAAGAACAGTAATAATCATTAATAAGTTGTAATATTTATCAGATATTAACTCTCATGCATTAAAAACCAGTTACCGTCCATCTACTGAAAATGCACCAAAATAACATTAAATATTGGAATAAATATGTTTGGATAAAAATATCTATACTCACTGACAATTTCAGGAACTTTTGCTGATTTTGTTTTCTTGGTCTGTAAGTTAACATGATCACTTCTATTATCACCTTCATCCTCTTCACTCACGCTCACCAATCTTGCATTTTTTGTTTGCTTAGAACCACTCGCTACAGATTTCTCTGCAAGGTCACTTGTCTTAGATTTATTCACTTGCATGGAACTATTTCCAGCAGTCAACTCTTCTACTTCCTCTTCGCTGTCACTCAGCAACTTTGACTTCTTGGAAGTATTTTGTACAACCATCTCATTGTTCTCAATGCCATTAACTTGCTTAGAACTATTTTCTGTATGCACCTCTTCCTCCTCCTCACTGTCACTTGTATTTCTTAAGTTTTTAATTTGCTTGGATCTACTTTGTACGACTATCTCGTCTTCATCACTGTCACTTATCAATGTGGACTTCTTAGGTAACTTGAAACTATTCTCTACAATCATATCCCCTTCCTCATTACTAGACTTATCTGCCTGCTTGGGACTATGGTCCACAACCATCTCATCATCAGAACTTAAAATTCTAGAATTATTCATATGTTTGGAAGTGGTTTGAACAGTCATTTCATCTTCCTCGTTATCACTCAACAACCTGGACTTCGTACTTTGTCTGGCAGTATTTTGGACAATTGCTTCATCTTCCTCACTATCACTCATAAATCTTGACTTCTGACTTTGCTTGGCAGTATTTTCGACAGTTGTTTCATCTTCCTCACTATCACTCATAAATCTTGACTTCTTACTTTGCTTGGCATTATTTTGGACAGCTGTTTCATCTTCATCACTATCACTCAACAACCTCAACTTCTTACTTTGTGTGGCAGAATTTTGAGCAGTTGTTTCATCATCCTCGATGTCACTCATCAACTTTGACTTCTTTGCTTGCTTGAGACTACTTTGTACAGCCATTTCATCATCACTGCTAGATCCACTCAACATCCTCTTCCTTGAGGCTTTTGCTGCAGGAGGATCCACTGGATCCTTTTCCAATGGATCTTCTGCTATGTGTAATGCGTCATCATCACTGTCACTAGCTGCTATCTGTTTTTTTCTCCTGGGTTGTTTAGTAGGTTTTGATTTCAAGTCAGATAATTTTTCATCACTGCAATAAAAATTTGTTATTACGTTAATAAATGAAATACTATATAAAATGTTTACATTATTATATTTTTTAATTAATCATTCCCCCTAATTACTTAACTTTAACGATTAAACAAATGTGTACATTGTTAAATTAAGAGTGAGATCGGGTAAACCTATAGTTCAATATAAGATACCCTGCATTTATCCATTTGCATGTTTATATGCTCCTCTTGGTTTGTTGTGGTATGTATCTATAAAACCAAATATAAATCAACAAACTTGAGAATTAACAGACCAAATTCGTCACCAAATCTGACGTCGTTACATTTTTGCCCAGTGGGTATAAAAATGTACACAAAGATAAAAGAGCTATGCTAATGCATTTAGTGGAATCAAAAGTGGTGTATATTAAATTTATTTATTTGTTTATTTCACTCCATTTCATATCCAACATGTCAAAATTCAGACACGTGTTAAAGATATATTTACCAAAGCTTTTCGTTAAGTTATTTTACGACAAAATGTACAAGTAAATAAGTTTGACGAGTTTAAAAACTGTCAAAATATATTCAAGCAGAGGCTTATCATTTGTGTGAAAAAACTGCCACCTAGCAGTTTGTTTTGATGTATAACCCACTATAACAGCTTTCTTCTGATGACTAAATCAGTCTATTGTATTTAAGGTTATTACAGTATTAGTCAAAAAAAAAAAAAATAAATGACACATAAAAAGAAAATTTTGATTAATACAATTTACATTTTTGATACTGCAAAACACAAGACGATGAAGAAACCAAATATATTTTTTGTTGTACCTTTCACTACTACTGTCTGCAGTTCTAATAATCTTATTCCTTTGTTTGCCCTTCTTTTTCGACACACCATTCTCATTCACATCACCTTCCATTGTCTTCATTAATTTTTTCCTTTGTTCATCCCTCTTCCTTTCCCGTTCAGCTCTCCTAGCTGCTTTCTTATCCTTCTTTTTTGATTTCGCCATTTCTTTCAACATCTCTTTACGTGACTGTGTTTTCTTGTTGACCTCTGTGATGTCATCTTTAGGCTCAATTTCACTTGCAAGCTTTCTGAGGTCAGCAGAAGTTAGATTACCTGGAATTCGCCAAAACGTTTCCTGCAAAAACAATTATGTATGACAATAGTAGATGTATATGGTAACATTTATAATATTGCTGATTGAATCAGGGCTTGAAATTAAGTGTTATTTGGTCGCATTTTTTAAGGGGCGACAAGGAATTCAACTGTGTCGCGCTCAGTGCGACAAGGTCATTTGATAGCGCGAGTAGATTTTGTAAGCGGCAGGAAGGTGGTTTCCCTCCAAATCCCAATTATTTATGTAGTATAATACATATGCTTTACATAAGAACATCGCCAAATAAATTTCGTTTTAGCGTGTTTTATCGTTAGCTTTGCATGCATGGGAAATATCACTTCAGTAAAAGCTACGATCGTTTCATCACAGGCAGCTTAAAAACTGCCCATGCATGTCCATGCGCATGCCCAGAATGATCTATCAGTGATTTTACACACATGTACAAACTTGTCAGTACTGTAGTAAAGTCACGAATCACGATACGATCGTGAGCGTTTAAGTGGACCGTAGGATTAGCCTACAATATGTTGAATTTTGTTGTTTTTAGATAATAAACATCATTTTAAATATTATAATAATATTGTGAAATGAAGACAAATAATAGATTTAGATAAGCATTATGATCTAGCTATGCGGACCACATTGTGTCAATTGGGCGATGTTGTTGACCTTGGCTGGCTAGCGTCATTCCTACCAAGGCCTAGCCTACGAAAAGACTAGGCGAGAAAGACAAGACGATTGTACACAAATCGTACGTACTGCATGCCTATTAGAAATACTGTAGTTATTGTACAAACAAATCTGTTTTTATATTACGTCATTCAGGGAAACTTGCAATGGGCTCAACTTCCTACAAAAAATATCGCCGCTGGTGGTGATCGCAGACATGGTTTGGGATATGTTACTTTGTAAACACTAGAGCATGTGACAATGTTCTCTGGCGATTAATACTGAAGTTTCGAAGTTTAAAGACGTACCAATAAAAAAAACCATTGAACAAGAAAATGGAACTATAGATCCTTAAATATGTAGATATAAGATACTTTTGCTGAAGTTGTACAGGCCCAGGCCTAATGTTCTAGTAGGCCATGGGGTGAAAATCCTAACGTTCAGTCCCGTTCCGAAATTTTCCTAATACTTTCACTCATTATGATAATTATTATAATAATATTTAAAAGCACCAAAAAAAAGTTCGACCGTCAGAACTTCTCTCTTATACACATCT